CCCCCCCCCCCCCCCCCCCCCCCCCCCCCTCCTTGTCTACACTGGATGTTTCAGCCTACCTTGTTGGTCTTCTGTCTCCATTTTCATAAGAACAGCTGTCTAACAGCTGATCTCAGTGAAAACTATAAACTATCTGGTGACAATCAGCAACCTAATTACTCTTCCTAATCACCTTTCATGTAACTCTGGTTCTATGGATTCTGAATGGTATGTAATACCTGGATCTCCAATGAAGTGACTACTTGTGATTTATAAACTCAGTAGTGTTAGAAACTTGTTTTAAAGAACGCTGTATAGTTGTAAGTTTTAACTCCTTAACTACAAATCATGTCTACTTGATGTGTTCAGTTAATGCACGATAGAAAAGAATAGGTTTTTAGGAATGTTGTTTCAGACATGTGTTGGTTTCCATCCAGCTGTGTATACTATGACATAAACTGGCCTAAGTGATGTAATCTGTCACGGTTAGCTTGAAGAGTCTCCGATGCATGGCCTTGCAGTATTTGGACTACAACTTGCTGATCACTTTATTTTATGCAGCTCATCAGGTAGAAGTCAAAGAAGCCAAATGTATCAGCTGCTGTTCTGTTCCTTCATGAGACCCTCGGTCCAGGACTAGCGGCCTCGTTGGGTCACTACTTCTGTTCACTCAGCTTCTTACTTTCTTTTTGATTTGCGGGATGAATGAGTTTGAGACTGAGCTCTGATATTTGTTCAGAATTTAGATTTCGATTTGAATTCGTGATTGCTTTCGTGGGTGGCGTGAAGGGTAATTGACCTCATTTGTGTCCCCAAGCTGCATCAGTGTAGTCCTTCCTGTCACTCAACGTGTGTGTTAGCATGAAGCAGTGAAGTGGCTAACAGTGTGTGTTCCCAACTCTTAAAGGAAGACGACCAACGAGACGCACAAAAGCTCAGTGAAGTCAGCATGATTCTCCCTTCGTCTGTCCATCTGGATGAAGCTGTGTGTGTGTGTGTGTGTGTGTGTGTGTGTGTGTGTGTGTGTGTGT